GGACGAAAATGTTTCCACCATCACCCTACGAACTCAAGATTGCATACTCCTGCATCTATACTTTGAATAATTTTCACGCCGCACAGTGCAGTACTGGAAACAGCATTTATTAGACAGTTAGACAAAAAACAAAACAAAATGCATGGCTCGATCAATCGCACATCCATAATGTTTGTATGTTGTTTACGCTTGTAAATAACATTAACGTAAAAGTCGAAACAACCTCGACTAGAAGTCAATTCTTTTTTATTTTTTTTTCAAATTTATAATCAATATACATAACTTGATAAATACAAACACCAAAATAGGCTCTATTTAGTTCCCCTTCAATTAAATCAACAGAACAACTAACATTATCACCTAAAATGCGTTTGACTGAAGTTCTACGTGAAGGTTATTTTAAAACAAAAAAGAAAACAAAAAAGAGATTAATACATCATTGACGCACTCCGACAGGAATCAGACCATCGCTTGTCGATAAAAGCACAATAAAACGTTCCCGTTTGGTTTTAAGATATTTTTGTAACAGTGTATGAATAATAAACACGTCATCTATGGTGCTATACCCTGCCCTGAAAATCGCTTGTTCTTCTACAGAGAATTCAGGGATTTCATCTCATTTACATAACCTATTGTATAAAATTCTTTCGAAATTTTACTTAATATTGGCAGTAATGTGATACCCCGATAATCACAAGCCTTATTCCCAGAACCATTCTTATGCATAGGGAATAAAATACCCTCACACCATTGCTTAGGAAAACTACATCCAAAATATTGTTAAAGATGCCAAGTAATAATTGAATTAATTGAGGAGAACAAGATTTATAAAATTCAGGCGGTATGCCATTTCTGCCTGGTGATTTACTTAATTTCAGCTGTTGAAAAAATTATGAATAATTATGCTAATTATGAAATTAATATGAACAGACTTTAACCCCAAACTAATCAGGTTTGTACATTGTCCTAGAGCATCTTTGTACTAAGTTTCATTTAAATGGAGTAATAAGTATTTTAGATATCAGTGTGATAGCTTAAAATTGGTTAATTATGCAAATTAGGTAATTAATATGTCTAGATGTTAACTCACAATTAATCATATAAGTACTTATCCAAATAAGGCGATTTATATGCATAAATATTTACCGAAAACTAATTGAGTCTTTGCATAGTCCTAGAGGATATATGTACCAAGTTTCACTGAAACAGGATTAGTACTTGATATATCCATGAAAAAGCTGAAATTAAATATTTACCCCAAAACAATCAATCTCTGCATAGTTCTTTAGTATCTATGTGCCAAGTTTCATTGAAATGTAATGCTTACTACTTGAAATATCACAAGCTGAAAACTAATTAATTATGCAAATTAGGTAATTAATATGTACTGATATTACCCTAAAAACTATCAGGTCTATGCAGTGTCCTATGACATATATGTACAAAGTTTCATTGAAATGTGATGATTAGTACTTGAGATATCAGTGGAAAAAACGAAAATTGACTAATCATTATGCAAATTAGGTAATTAATATGCACAGATTTATACCAAAAACTAATAATCGAAACCTAGAATTAGTTCAGAACATCTATGTACCAAGTTTCATCAAAATCCAATGAGTGGTTGTTTATATATCAGTAGAACAGTCATGGAAAATCTAAAAATTGACTATTTATCATGCAAATTACGTAATTAATATGCACGGATTTTTACCAAAAACTGATTAAATATGTGCATAAGTTCAGAGCATATATGTACCAATTTCATCAAAATCCAATGAGTAGTTCTTTAGATATCAGTGGAACAATCATGGAACAGCTAAAAATTAGCTAATTATCATGCAAATTAGGTAATCAATATGCTTCGTTTTCTATCAAAACCTTATAAAATCTGCGCATTGGCCCAGAGCATTTATGCACAAATTTTCATCAAAAACCGATTTATGGTTCTTGAGGTAGAAGTGGAACAGACAGACACACATACACACACACACATCTAAGTTGTAAAGCCACAATTGAAATAACTTATAACATAGTTGCGATATGAACTCGATTAAAACGCGTTCCTATATAGGGTTGAGTTTTAATTGGAGTTTAATTAAACTCAATTACAATGCAATACAATGTAGAATTGCGTTTTAATTAAGTTTAATTAAACAAAACTTGAATATCCCGTGACTGGACATAGAAATATTTGCGAAGCTTAGGTTTAGTATCGAGGTAAGGTATGGTACAATTATATTAATATTAATATAAACTGAACCATACCTTCCCCCTTTACTAAACCTAAGCTTCGCAAACTTGACTCAAGTTCTATTTTTATAGAAGAACCTTCCCAAATAAAAGAAATTCTAAAATAATTGAACCAAGAAAGCAACAAATATCAGGCTGCATCCTGAAAACATCGAGATAGCGCATCACAACCAGTCATTACAAAGATGAAATCCTCCACCCCTCCCAGTACATCCTACAGCATTAATGGTTCCTATACTCATTTGCATCTATGTGCAACAAGCTTAACCAATAGATGCAATTGACTCATCAAACTTTTAACCAACCACTCATTCTAAATATTGTTGAGTGAGGGCGCTGTTTACTAATGAGAAGAATCTTTTAAAAAAATTAAACAGATATATATAAATTAAATAGATAACATATATATGTATTCTATGAGTGTTTAAACATTGTGTTCTCTAATAATTGTTATATTATTAAGTACCGCAGATAAACACAATGGGTATAATCATGTCTCCAACAGTAAACACTAACACTATCACTAACAAAAAACTTTGCCCGGCGAGGTAGGCTAGGGGTTTAAGGATGTAGTAGACATAACAGTCACTATTTTATACATTTTTTGTTTATTGTCTATTTTGGTGGCATTTGTCTATCAGCATGCAATGGATTTGTTTTCCACTCAAAATAGTAACCAGTACACCCAAAAAAAAGCATTTTTAACAAAAAAGTTAGGATATGTGTTTATAACAGCAGACCGCTCACTTTGATTTCAGGATAATCGACTTTGAGCGTAAACAATAAATATTGACCTAATTTGCATAAGTTGGCCTACTTAGCAACGGAAACAACGCACGCACGCCCTGTGATCGTTCTATATTAGTACACCGTGTGTGACACATCAAAAAATTAGCGCTCCTTAAAATTGTTATCAGAATTATTATTAGAGAAGGAAGGGACAAAAAAGGAAGAATATGACGCCAATGTCTGAAGAAGCAAACCTTCGTCTCAGAAAAAATAACATCGATCGCGGTTCGGAAAGTTCGGACTCCAACGACGGTGCAACATTTATCTACATGTAGC